GATTTTTGATGAAGTCTTTAGGGTTTTCTTGTTTGTTTGTTTGATTGTTTGTTTGTTTGGTTGGTTTTGGTAATTTTTCTTATAAGAAATATTTCTTTAATAGCTAGATATTAAATTGTATTGAATGCTTTTTGCATTTGTTGATGATCATATAGATTTTCACTGTAATGGACTGTATTGCATTAAAAGATATTCTCATGTTCACCTAGTCTTACCTGGAATAACCCTACCTTGATCATACTGTTTTTTTCTGTAGAGTTGGGTATGGTTTACTAAATTGTATTTAAACTTTTATGTACTTGATTTTTTTTTTCCAGCCATGTTGTACATTCTATTTGAAAAAAAGGCAAATAATACACATTTTTAATCATACTTTACACTTAACACCGTATTACAGAGATGTTAAGTAAATATTTGAATCATAGTGTTCCTAAGTACATTATTTCACCTAATAACTAAAGCTATCAGGAAAGGAAGTGGTCAGATAAAATATTTAGCCTTTAATTCTGGAAGTTTCTCCTAGAATTATATCATTGTAGTTGGAAAAATATTTATTGAGTGCTTGGGGTCATGGAAGTAGTACTGGATTAGGAGTTAGACTGGGGCTTCTTAGTAGCTTTGAGACCTTAAGCAAATGGCTTAAGTTTTCTTAGCCTCTGTTTTTTCACCTACAAAATGGGGACAATAATATTTGCTATGCTTACTTCACAAGTTCTTGTGATAATTAAAAGGGCATATGAATGTGGTTAAAAAAAAAAACAGTGTGCCAACAAATCTACGATACCATGTTCAGTGTTCTGAGAATCAATCCAAGTATGTCTTTCCAGACTATAAAGTGGAGAAATGTTTTCTCACCTGTCAGGATTGTTGTGAGAATCAACCCAGATACTGGAAGTGTAAATTATTAACTGCAGTGGGTATTTGTGGTTTTTGGATTGTTATTTTTAGTATGTATATTGAGGGAGTGAGCTGAGCATAAACATTCTGCTGGAAGGATCTTTTGCCTTCCCATAGTTTTCAGGTGCTCATGATTGGATGGCACATGGCATTGAAGGCAAGAAGAATAATTCACTTGAAATCTATCATTCTAGATGACTGCTATCTCTAGAAAGGCCTGTTTACAAGGTTGGGTATTGGTTGGTACATATGAACCTAATAATAAACTATTTCATACACCGATATAAAACTTCAGCCTAAATGATGAGTGGCTCTCTGTGCCTGAACTGTTTGTACAAACAAATTGGTTAATCACACCTGCTTTCTTTTTGGAAGTCAGGAATGTCACCGGCCCCAAATAAAAACCTCTGCCACTAAGTCGAATGAGCTTTCTTGGTAGATGACACTTCATGTGAGTTGTCGTTAATTAGTTGCTGGAGGAATTACGCACAATCTGTAGAGGAATTTTGAAAGCTTGTACCTGATATACTACAGACTTCATCCCATGCATCTTTCCCTTTGCTGATTTTGCTCTGTATCCTTTTGCTATAATAAATCACAAACATGAGTATGACTATTTGTTGAATCCTGTCAGTCCTTCTAGGAAGTTATAGAACCTGGGGCTGGTCTTGGGAACTCCTAACATTCGTAGTGACAATAATTAGTGCCTTCTCAAAATTCAAGTTTCCAGATACTAGCCAAGAACCAACCTTGTAAGTAGACATTTCCAAGGATAGCACTTTCAAGTCTGCTGTTAACCCTACTTTTAATGACATTTGTGCTATTTGTTTTTTGATATAAAGGAAACCAAAAACTTTTCTTGTCTTTCCGTGGTTTACAGTAATTTTATTGAATAGGATAACCCAATTTTATAAACAATGTGGTTTTTTTACTGCTTTGCAGGGGAATTGTATAACTAATTTATTTAACAGATTTATTGAACATTTACCAAGTGCCTTTATTAGAAGTTAAACTCTATTGCAGATGCCAGTGGTGTCCTACAATTCAATTCACTTCTGGCACTAACTTCCAAGAGACAGTGCAGACTCCACAGGTTAAGGGATTAGGTGCCACAAGCACCAGACTTATAATTACAGCTTTTTAATAAAAGACACAACTCAGAAACAGGTAGACACACCTAGGGCAAGATGTAAAGAGGCTTATGGCCAATCTGGACGCTCCCATTCGTGGTGACATAACAGCCAGAGTTTTTATAAAGGTTTCATTATGTAGACATGATTGGTTAAATCATTGGCCATTAGTGACTAAACTCAATCTTCAGCTTCTCTCCCTTCTGAGGTCTGGGGGTAGGGCTGAAATTTCTAATTCTTTAATCACCTGGTTGTTTTTTCTGGCTACCAGGTCTCATCTTAAAGCTATCTAAGGGGCCCTACTATTAGCATAACAAGGACACTGCTGTTACTTTAAGAAATTTCAAGAGTTTTTTAATCTGTTAGTTAGGAACCAGGGACAGACACCAGATACATTTTTTATTCCACAGGGCATACAAATAATAAATATATCTGGTAGGGATAAGTATTTTGGGAAAGGGGGTAAGGAGATTGAGTGACGGAAGGGCACTCACTGCTGTAGACAGGGCAGCCAGGGAAAGCATCACTGACAGACTTCTGTGCAGGTCACTCAGTGAATGGCATGAAGAAGGGACCTTGCCAGGCGAAATAAACTTAGCAAATGAAAATGGAGTGTACTGCACATTCTAGAAATTAAAAAAATAGTATGGCTGGGAAATGGTGGTGGCGGTATGGAGAAAGAGTGGTAGGGAATGAGGTCAGAGTTAACCTGGGTTAGATTATGTGGGGCCTTATAAACCATGATAAGAATTTTGGATTACTTGAATTAGTTTACTTTTTTAGAAAGAATCTTAAGGACTACTATTTGGAAACCAGACTAAGGGGTTATGGACAAGAGTGGTTAGGGGCTCGTTTAGTTCAGACAAAAGATCAAAATGGTGTCAACCAAAGTATTAGTAGTGGAATTGATGAGAAGTTGGAGAGTTTCTTGATATATTCTGATAGAGGCCCAACAAAATTTACTGGAAGATTAGATGTGGGATGTATGAGAAATGACTCCAATGCATGAGAACATTGACCCCACACATTCATAGTAACAATGAATTTTATTGATTAAAATTTGACATTCAAAATGAGTTGGCTGATTTAGAAAATGGAGTACATTTAGCATTGCTTTTCCAAAAAGAAAAAAAAATCCCATCTCACTGTAACTTAACATTTTTTTAATATAAAAAGACTTCGCATAGTTGGTCTGTTGATCCAACCCAAGCAGTATTTTGATGACATATATATGACAAGTTTTGTTGGACAAATCTTGAACTGGTTTATAAGAGCTAGCAGGCTGTGATTTTAATGAAGTTGGTTTGTTTTCGGTAAATTATTAGCACAGTCCTGTTAATATCTGCACTGTTCAGTAATTCTAACAGAAATTGTTTTGATAAGTAATATTTCCTAACAATGATATTTCCTGCATGATAGGATTCTAGTAGTTTGTATGAAGAACTAAAGCTTTCTGTGAAGAATCATATTTAGAATTAAGGTATGTGATAATTCATGGTGCTTTGCAAAAGCTTTGGCAATATTATATATTATAAAAATTGAAAACTCACTCTGTTTTCCAGCCACCTGTAAAACCCGATGTCATTTTGCCAAAAAGCTTGAAAAATGTTAACTCTCAGTCCTTGTTGCATGTGAACACACTTTTTACAATAGACCTAACATTGATTTACCACTTTTGAGTCTTATTCCTACCTCTTCCAACTTCTTTGCTCTTTCCTTTAGTTTTCATTGCAATAAAGTGTGTTTTGCATTTGCAGAAATAGCCTTCAGTTTTTAATAAGATACAGATATGATGCGGTTATTTTGATTGTCTTTGTTTATACCAGGAGATTGTTTACTGTTATTTTAAATATTCATATTTCTTTTTACTTTTCTGGAAGCAGATTTGTCTGGTGCTGTAGCAGAGAACTATGTAGGAGTTGAAAACTTGGATTGCTGAGGCTACTTGAATAAGAAAAATGAGTGTCTTGAGAATTTTGAGCAGCCAGCAGTCATATTTTCCCCCTTAGCTTTCAATTTCTTCATTATTTCCACTACTCTAGGTCTCTGTACCAACAGGAAATCACCTATAACAAACAAAACTCTACATTTAAACAGAATCCCATTCATGACAGAAGATGTGTGTGTGGAGATAAACTTTTATGTTTAGGTATTTGATAAGCTTTAATGTTTTCTTTGTTTCCCCTTTTTCCCCTAACTAAATGTAAAGTTTTTGGAGCAAGGACTATGCCTTATTATCTTTATGTATACTACAGTGTTTTGGACATTTGATAAATATTCATGAAGTATTTAGTTGATTGGGGATAGATTAATTCAGTCATTTTGTAGAAGTTTCTGATACTGTAAAAAGACAATTTTCTGAATGTACATTTTACAGTAAATATTAAAATAAAATATATTAAATTGATTGTGAGTATAATATTTATGCATTTCTGTGCAGCATTTGTATTTAAGTCGTATGATCTTTCTTTCTTTCTTTCTTTCTTTCTTTCTTTCTTTCTTTCTTTCTTTCTTTCTTTCCTTCTTTCCTTCTTTCCTTCTTTCCTTCTTCTTTCCTTCTTTCCTTCTTTCCTAGGCCGAGAGAGAGAGAGAGACATCGATTTATTGTTTCATTTATTTATGCATTCATTGGGTTGATTCTTTTACGTACCCTGACTGGGGATCAAACCCACAACTCTAGTGTATCAGGACAACGTGATAACCAACTGAGCCACCCAGCCAGGGCTGACATTATTTCCTTTTTATAGTGTCTGTCATATGGCTATACTTACACAGATATGAAACACTTTAAAAGTTTTATTATTTTAAATTAATGATTGGATTCTGTTGTATATTATTAGTGGTCTGTCTTATTTCTGTTGTCTCTGTCAGTGGAACATATGACCAGTCCAGTTCTCAGTAACGAACATTCATACACACACACATGCTGTGTGCAAAATTTTGAAAGGTAATTTCTGTATTTTTATCTTTCAGAACATCTTAGCTGAACCATCGAAGTCTAATGGAAGTATGCTTCGCCATTCCTCTTCATATGTAGTATATCCACCTGATAAACCTTTCCTTAATAGTGATCTACGACGCTCCCCAAATAAGCCTACACTTGCCTATCCAGAAAGCAACAGCAGAGGTAATAGAGCCTAGCAAAAATAGATGTGGATTTTTGGGGGGGTTTACTCACTGCTTCATAACTCTTAATTATGTCTTCCATTTATTTTAAATTTAGAGGAGGAGAGTATATTCCTACCTTCCTGTTTTTAACCTCCTCAAAATATAATGCATTTTTTGTGTGTTTCTTAATTATCAGACATCATCATTCTCTTTCCTTTATTCTTTAGTAATTTGCTTATTTCTGAACTTTTAAAAAAATTTTCTTTACGTAGATGTAAAGATCAGAACTAGATGTAATACTGTAATAGAAGGATTACTATCTAGTTCTAAGACTTTGTGTTCCTGCTAGAACTCTGTGGCTTGGTTTTTTATTTTGGGCTTTTTTTAAAGAAGAAATTATTACTAAAACTTAACTGTTTTTATTCCACTGTGGACATAGTTATTTGTTTTTTGCTTTTTTAACCTGTGTCAAGTTTGAATGTTATGCAATTTTTGTTATTTTTCAGAATTGCTAGTCTTTAACTATTGTATTCTGATAAGTAGCATTTTATCAGTGTTTTATTAACCATTAAATTAGCATTTTCTTTGTCATCATTGTCTTTAGAAACAGTATCTTATAAATAAGTTTCTGGTTATGAAATTGAATACTGAGTATTGAAATTTCTATTTTTTTTTAAACTTTATTGTTGAATATGTTACAGATGTTCCTCTTTTTTTCCTTATTGACCTCCTCCTCCCTGCTCCCACCCTCCTCCTACCTTTTCACACACTATTGTTTGTGTCCATTGGTTATGCATATATGCATATAAGTTGTTTGGTTTATTTTTTTCCCCACCCCTCTTCTTTCCCTTTGAGGTTTGTCAGTCTAACAACCAATTTGTACTTCTTAATACCTTCACCTTTTTCACCCATTCCCCCAACCCCCCTCCCATCTGGCAACCAACAAAAAGTTCTCTGTATATGTAAGTCTGTTTCTGTTCTGCTTGTTCGTTTTGTTTGTAAATTTAATTGTTGATAGATATGTATTGCCATTTTATTCATATTTTTGATGTTCTTTTTCTTGAAGAAGACCCTCCAACATTTCATATAATACTGGTTTGGTGGTGATGAACTCCTTTAGCTCTCGTCTGGGAAACTATTCATATGTCCATCAATTCAAAAGGATAGCTTTGCAGGATAGATTATTCTTGGTTGTAGGTTCTTGCTTTTCATAACTCTGAATATTCCTTGCCACTTCCTTATGGCCTGCAAAGTTTCTTTTGAGAAATCAGCTGACAGTCTTATGGGCGCTCCCTTATAGGTAACTAACTGCTTTTCTCTTGCTGCTTTTAAGATTCTCTTTCTGTCTTGAACCTTTTGCATTTTGATGATGATATGTCTTGGTGTGGACCTCTTGGGATTCATCTTGCTTGGGGCTCTCTGTGCTTCCTGGACTTGTATGTCTGTTTCCTTCACCAAGTTAGGGAAGTTTTCGGTCATTATTTTTTCAAATAGGTTTTCAATTTCTTGCCCTCTCTCTTCTCCTTCTGGCTCCCTCATAATGTGAATGTTGGTATGCTTGAAATTGTCCCAGAGGCTCCTTACATGACCCTCATTTTTTGGATTCTTTTTTCTTTTGCTGTTCTGATTTGGTGTTTCTTGCTTTCTTATATTCCAAAGCGATGGTTTGCTTCTTGGCTTTACCTACTCTACTATTGAATTTTTGTAAATTATTCTTCATCTCAGTTAGTGTTCCCTTCATTTCCGACTGGTCCTTTTTTATGCTCTTGAGGCCCTCACTAAGTTCATTTAGCACCCTTATAAGCAGTGTTTTGAACTCTGCATCTGTTAGATTGCTTATCTCCATTTCATTTAGTTCTTTTCCTGGAGTTTTGTTTCATTCTGTCATTTGGGACATGTTTTTTTGTTTCCTCATTTTGGCTGCCTCCCTGTGTTTGTTTTTATGTATTAGGTGGAGTTGCTATGTTTCCTGGGCTTCCTAGGGTGGTCTGTTGCAGTAGGTGTCCTATAGAGTCCAGTGGCACAGCCTCCCTTGCCACCCCAGCTGGGTCCTTGAGGTGCACCCTTTGTGTGTACTGTACACCCTTCTGTTGTATTGAGCCTTGATTGCTGTTGGCAAGTCAATGGGAGAAATTTACTTAGGCTGATCAGCTTCAAGGACTGGCTGTGCTCACTGACCACTGACCTCTGATTAACTTGGAAGACCAGCTCTGTAGGGGCCCACCATACAGCAAGACTTAATTCAGCAGGGCTCTGGTACTCACTGAGTCCACTCCTTGATTGTGTCACTGTGGAGGTGGTATTTCAATGTGGTCTGAAGCTGTCCACTGGGTGTGCTGGCTCTGGGGCAGGGTCAGCTACTGCCGTGTTCTGCCTGGGGCCACCAGGCATAAACTACAAAGTGATCTGCAGATGGCAGATCAGGTGCTCACTGAGGCCAGATGCTGCTTTTTTGAGAGAATTTAGGAAAATCAGAAGCAAATGCCCAGACAGGCCATTCCTATGGTAAAGCCGCTGTGAACAGCTTGGGTGGGCCTGAAAGTTGGGTGGGGCAGAGACAGGACAGGGCAAACAGTGTGAGACAGGTTGCTGGCGTCCCAGATATGGCCCCTGCCTGCTGGCCTTGTTGGGGAAGGGCTCACCAAAGGAAGAATGGCCTCCACCAGAATGTCTGTCTGGGAGAAAGCCACCTCTTCAGCCCTCATCTCGATGCCTAACAGCTCAGTTCTTCCCTGTATGTCTCTGGCACCCCTCAAGCTGCCCCTCCCTCCATGCTGGAGTTCAGAGGGAGCAAGTTCGAGTAAGTTCGTGTGCGGGCCCTTTAGGAGGAGCTGCTTGGGGCTTCTGCAGCCGCAGCCTCCCTCAGTCTCAGTTCCCACTGGTTTTTCCAGCCAGAAGTGATGGGAACTTCTCTTCCTGGCACTGGAACCCTGAGCTGGGCGCCTTTTTTGGGACAGAGACCCCTCACTCCTCAGGGAGGACCTTCCCAGCCGAGGTGTCCTTCCTGATTTTTATCTGCCACACAAGGGTGTGGGACCAGCCCCCACCGCTCTGTCCCTCCTACCAGTCTCGATGTGGCTGCTGCTTTAATTTTATAGTTTTAGGACTTCCATTCAGCTGTATTTCAGGTAGTTCTGAATGATGGTTGTTCTGTAGTTTAGTTTTAATTTTGATGTGGTTGTGGGAGGAGACAAGACCACGTTTACCTACTCCACCATCTTGACCACAAGTCTCAGTATTGAAATTCTTAAAAGTAGCGGATACCAGGTTAAATTTATTTCAGCAAGCACTTTTGAGGCACCATTTTGGAGTAGAATTTACATTGGAAACTATACTTGGATATTATTATCTGTCTAATATTTTACTATACAATGAGCCCATAGTTCAAAAAAGTATCATTCTGAGATTAACCTTTAAGATATTTGCAGTGCATTTCCCAGTTGAAACAAAAAGGTTACTAAACCAAACAAATGCCTGTTTAACCTATATGTAGCTAAAGTATAATACTTCTTTTATCTAGAGAATTGTTAGTAAATATAATTACCACAGTACTAGTGATCAAACACAATTAAAAAATAATGAAATGCAGTAGCATTGCAGATAAAGCAGATATTTTATTTAATCTTCACAGGAAAATTGCATAAGGTAGGTATATTCAAAATTTACAGATGAATATCAAAACCTTTCTCTCTTTCCACTTTTTCCCAGGTGTATTTAGTGTATCCTGAAATATTTATTGAATGAAGTCTTATTTTGAATAGATACTCCTATGATAAAATTTATTTTTTACACATAGTAAATGCTTTTTTCTTACTAATATTTTAGCTGGGGCATGCCTGGTTATTCTTTAGTTTAGTTATAGTTTACTATATTTTCATTGGTAAATAAATATTTCACATGGATTTGTGATAATTACCTTGAAAATATAATTTGACTAATGGCTAGGGAAAGAAATAATGAAACTGTTTCTTATAATTCTCATTCTCATTCATTTTGAACTTTAGTTAGAAAAGAAATTGGAAATCATTACTGCCTTCTGAAATGTCTATAGCCGTTTAAAAAATTTTAACATCATTCCAAAGACTTTCATTAGAAATCCATTGCTCATGTTATTTGTTCAGTACATTTCAGATGACAGTGATGTGGAGAATAGCTTGGACATATGAAGTAGGATAACTAGCTGTAAGGCAGTTCTGCTAGACCACTGCTTTCTAACCTTGCACTTAACCCTGTGAGGTAGCTTCTGAAATAATACTTTCTTTTAAGAACTGTGGTGGTGAGATTAATGGAGAAAGGGAACTGGAACTACTCAGCCCCCTGGCCGGGGAAGGAGGCTGTGGGTAGAAAAGTCACCTCTCGTAAATCAACCTAGGGACGTTCTGTGTGCTCACTGAGGTGCATCCATACATGAATAAACAGAGCTGTACAGTGTTACTCAGGAAACTCTTAATATTGTGAGTTGCATTTAAAGAATAATGTGTGAAAGCTGCATTTTTTTTTTTTTTTTAATAGGATTCACTCCTTATAAAGGATGGCCTCACTCTGTCGACTAGTAACAGATTATAGAGCTATAAAAATAGGAAGTATGGAGCTGGTACACAACTAGGTATTAGTGAAATAGAAAGCTTATAGACACATGTATATAAGGATGAAAATATAGAAATAAATCTGTTGACATGGAGAATAATTGCTCATAAAAATAAATGTGATATGACATAGTAGAGAATAATCCCACTAACATGAAAGCTCAGAAAAATAGAAAATGATTTCAGCAAAATATTTATAATTATTATGCTGAGATGGTAGAATTAGGGTGTCACATTTTTCCTTCTCATTCCTGTTTTTTGTAAATTCAGTTTAACTATAGTTAACACTGTCGTATGATACACAGCAAATCCTCAACATCATTCCATTCAAAGTTGCTTCATTATCACATTGATGAGATGCAGTATAAACTCTTGTTTATATCAGTTAAATTTATATCAGTTAGCCTATAGTAAATTGGTTTTGTTATATGTCATTTCCCTTAAAGTTGTAAAACCTATTGACTATGTTAAGTGAGGACTTCCTGTATAGGAAAGTTGTTAAGCCAGTAGATCTTAAGAGTTCTCATCACAAGGAGAAATTTCTTTTCATTTATCTGTATGAGATAATGGATGTTAACTAAACCTATTGTGGTAATCATTTCACAATACATGCAAATCAAACCATCAAGCTGAACACCTTAAACGTATACAGTGATTCATGTCAGTTGTTTTTCAAAACTGGAAAAAAATAAGCATTAATTCAGGTCAAGAACTAAGGAAAGGGGGAGAAAGAACTAATGTTTGGCCTGTGTTGTGTTGTATTTTGCTTTGAAATAAAAATGCTGAGGATTCTAAGGAACTTCTAAGAAAGATTCTAAAGAAATGCTAAGATACTAAGGAAAGAACATAAATCTGTTTTGTAGAAAATTAGAAATAGGGACAATGTGGTAGATGTTTATAAGACTATCATGTTTGGTTCTTGATGAATAAATTTGAGTACCATAATACAAACTTTAAGTGGTTAAAGTCTCAAAAAGGTGCTAGCCCCAAGTAGTTTTAGGGAATACATTTTGAGAAGTGTTTAAACAAAAAATCTCCATGACATATAAGCCATTCCAGAATACAGAGAAAGAAAGCATATACCCACCCTGGGTACTTTTTGTTAATCTAGTATATCCCTGTCATAACTATAGTTGCTGACATATAGAATAAAAATTGAGTGTTCCAGCCAATTGCAGTAATAATTGTAAATATAAAAATAAAATACTAACAAAATTGCATACTAATTCATATAATTAAATGAAAGAATGCAGGAAATGTTTGTATTACCAAATTTTTTTGTTTTCTTAATCCTCACCCGAGGATATTTTTTCCATTTATCTTTAGATAGAATGGAGGGGAGGGAGAGAGAGAGAGAAACATCAATGTGAGAGAGACACATTGACTAGTCACCTCCCTCATGACCCTGAACAGGGCCGGGGACTAACCGAAACAGAGGTGCCCTTGGCCGGAATTGAACCCACTACTCTTTGGTCCATGAACCAACGCTCTAACTACTGAACCAAACCAGCTAGAGCTGGTATTACCAAGTTTTTAGTAAATACTCCTCATTGGTTGAAAAAGGTTAATAAACCTCATTTAATATTTAAAAAAAAAAACATTTATTAACCTTTTCTTTTTCTGTGTGTGATCTGATTATTCCAGGCATATCAGAGAATTACTGTTATTTTAAATACTGATCTCATATCTGGGCTTTTTTTGTATCTCCTAGTTTCTGATGTGTTTCATGTCTGCGCTTTTTCTAATTAGGTTGTCATCTCATCGCATACCAGGAAATGTAAACTATCTATATTATGAAATGTATAAGTATCTTAATTGGACCTTTCACATTTTAGGAATTGAAAAATTTGGTGAATGAATGAATTACATTAATAAATAGAAAAGTATGCCTTGTTTTGAGTGCAGGCTTGATTTTTAAAAGATGTCAGTTCTTCCTAACTATTGTATAGTTTACATAAAGTTTCATTAAATCAGTGTTTAGGAAAAATTATTCTAAACACTTAATTGGTGAAGATAATATTGAAATGATTTAAAGATTTATATAATGTGGTAGACTGGCATTTATAAAGTGTTAATTAAAATATTGGCATAATATTAATGGAATAAAAAAAAAGTCTCAGCACTGTCCTGGGCATGTGTATAAGTAATAATTATATCTGTATGTATAGTTATATGTGTGTACTTGGTATACAATAAAGTTGCCATTTAAAGTTCTTTTAATATAAAAATACCTTTTATATTTGACTTACTATAATACAATGGTTGGCTGGCCTGCGAACCGAAGGGTCCTGAGCTTGATTCCTGGTCAAGGGCACGTACCTGGGTTGTAGGTTTGAGCCACAGCCTGGCCTGGGGAGGGCGGTGCATGTGAGAGACAACCAATGGATGTGTTTCTCTCACATTCCCCCCCTCCCCTCACCCCAATTCCTCTCCTTCTCTCCTCCTCCTCCACCCCACTCCCTTTCAATCTCTCTAAATATCAGTGGAAAAAATATCCTGGAGTGAAGATGAACAATGACAACAACAAAAAAGCAAAATAAAATAGCCAGAAGTTTCTTTTATTTTTAATCAGAATGGTAGAGGTGGCCCTGGTTGGGTAACTCAGTTGGTTAGAGCGTTAATCCAATATGCCAGGGTTTCGGGTTCGATCTCCAGTCAGGGCACATGTAGTAATCACACTATGCCCTCCCCCAGCCCCGTCCTTTTCTCTCTCTCAAATCAGTAAATTTAAAAAACATAGAAGAACGGCAGAGATGAAATTAATATTGGTCTGTGCTGGCAAAGACATACTTCTGATGAAAGTATAAATTGATGCAGCTACTTTTGAAGGCACTTTACTTTGTTTCAGAAGTCTTTTTTTGACCCAGTAACTTGATTTTTCAATTTTTACTTATTGATCATGAAATAACCTTTTAAGATAGCATGAGGGAATATCGTAATGCTAGAGTAAAAAACAAAACTTAGGTAAATTTTTATCTCAATTTATTATATATATATATGATTCAAGACTGAAAGAAATAAAAAATAACAGTCATTATCTCATATATTAAAATAATAGGTTATTTTCTTTATTGTTTCCTGTGCCTTGTATAGTGAATACATACTACTTTTATAATTAGGAACTTTCATTGGGCAGTTAAAGTGTGTGTAGATTTTTTTCCTAAGTAATGAAAAAATAGACATTAAAAAATAGTCCTTTTTAGCCAAAGAATCCAATTAAAAAATGGGAAGAGGAACTAAATAGACCCCTCTCCAAACAGGACATACAAATGGCCAAGAGACATATGAAGAAATGCTCATCATCACTAATCATCAGAGATGCAAATTAAAACAACGAGGTATCACCTCACACCTGTCAGAATGACCGCCGTCAATAAATTATCAAACAACAAGTGTTGGCGAAGGTGTGGAGAAAAGGGGACTCTAGTACACTGCTGGTGGGAATGCAGACTGGTGCAGCCACTATGGAAAACAATATGGTGTTACCTCAAAAAATTAAAAATTGAACTTCCATTTGACCCCGTGATCCCGCTTCTAGGAATATACCCTAAGAAGCCTGAAACACCAATCAGAAAGAATATATGTACCCCCATGTTTGTAGCAGCACCATTTACAATAGCTAAGATCTGGAAACAGCCCAAGTGTCCATCAGTAGACGAATAGATAAAAAAGCAGTGGTACATATACACAATGGAGTACTATGCAGTTGTAAGAAAGAAAGATCTCTTATCCTTTGAGACGACATAGAGGGACCTGGAAAGTATCCTAAGCGAAACAAGGCAAACAGAGAAAGACAAGTATATGATCTCACTTATTTGTGGAATATAATGAACATAACAGTCTGAGGAATGGGGCAGTCCCAGAGACGTGGAAGTGGGGTACAGACTGACAATCCCCAGAAGAGAGGATGGTGGGGGAGAGATAAACCACAGAACTTATATGCATGTATTCATGAACAATGGACATGGACAACAAAGCTGGGGACAGGGCAGGGAGGGGGGGAAGGGGGAATCTGGGGGGAAAAGGAGAAACATCTGTAACAAAAATTAGTTAATTAATAAAAAAAATAGTCCTTTTTGTGCTTGACTATTTTAACTGTGATTGGATTCTGCCTGTGATCCTTTTAATGAAACAAAAAAAGTAATAGTTAATGTATTTTGGGACAGTTATATCAGCTTGGTATGATTAAATATTTTTATCATTTTATAAAATCTTTGAAATGTTTTACCATAGTTAAGTGGTTTTTGCTTCAGTACTTAGCACATTTTAGAAACTCAGAAGATGTCTTTAAATGGATTTTTAAAAAACAATTATCATGTGATAGTAATTAACATTTTATTATTCCCAAAGAATTATCCTCCACTAGACTCGCCCATCAGTTTTATTTTTTATTTAGATGATCTTCTTTCTAAGTGAACTTTCTCCATATATATTGTTATCTTATAGTATCCATATTTCTATCTGGCAGCCATATTTTCTGCTCTGAAGAATCTTCAAGATAAGATTCGACGCTTAGAACTTGAAAGGATTCAGGCTGAAGAAAGTGTGAAAACCTTGTCTAGAGAAACAATTGAATATAAGAAGGTATTGGATGAACAGATACAAGAAAGGGAAAATTCAAAAAATGAGGAATCAAAGCACAATCAAGGTTTGTTTAATTATTAAGAAAATGAAAACACTATCAAAATAACTATTGTAGAATTACTCCAAAATTACACATTATCATTTTTAGTGGTCTGTCTTTAGGCACCATAAAATTGAATTATACTCTGATGCATTTTGAGGAACAAGTGCTGATGTCATGAATTATATTTACTGACTGAACTCAAGGCAGATCAGACTAGCATATTATATAAGGAATGATTTAGGTCATCTGAAAAGGCTTCAAGGGCTACTGGAAACTGTTTATTATATACACAGTAGACTTAATTCCTTTTAATAGCTTATTAAAACTGTTCTCTGACCTAATTTTTGCTTTTTTTGCATATTCTTTTTAGAACTGACATCTCAGTTGCTAGCTGCAGAAAATAAATGTAATCTTTTAGAAAAACAACTGGAATACATGCGTAATATGATAAAGCATGCAGAAATGGAAAGGACATCTGTCTTGGAGAAACAGGTATGATACCTCACTGATTTGTTCTCAAGGACAGTTAGTTATTGGGAAAATTAGATTGACATAAAGACCTTTTTTCATAGGACTAATGGTGCTGTTATAATAATCATTTCTACTTTTATCTTAAAGTAACCACTGGCAATAGAACCAGTAGTTTATTTTGAAAACCGAGTGTAAGCCTTGAGGAAAAAAATACTATTTTTTCAGCATAGCCATAAAGAAGGGTTTTCCTGTTGGATTACCCTCACACACTCTGTCGTATCCTCTACACACAATTTTGATAGCTCCTGCTTTTGAGCAGTATGGCAGCTCAAAACTGAAATTACTTGGGATCATTTAAGTGTGTGAAAATTTAATTGGTCTTCTTATTGCTGTATTAGTAAAATACTAGATAGTGAGTTCTGTGATCTTTTCAAGTCATGTTAACTCTTTGAGTCTACATTATAAAGAATATAAAAAAATCATATTATGTACCTCTCTGCTTCTCAGTTTATTTAAAGACTCAAATAAGGTAACAAATTTCAAGGTTTTTTATACTTTGAAAAACTTGACTTTGGTTTTTTGATGAAAAGTGTAGTTAACATGCCCAGCTGGTGTGGCTCAGTGGTTGAGCATCGACCCATGCACCAAGAAGTTACCAGTTTGATTCCTGGTCAGGGCACATGCCCGGGTTATAGGCCTCATCCCTAGTGTGGGGTGTGCAGGAAGCGGCCATTCAATATTCTCTCTCATCAATATTTCTCTCTCTCCCTCTCCTTTCCTTTCTCTTGCTCTAACATCAATAAAGAGAAACAATTTTTTTTAAAAGTGTAGTGAACACATTATATTAGTTTCAGGTGTACAAATAGTGATTTAACATTTATATAATTTACAAAGTGATCACCATGATAAGTCTAGTAACCATCTGTCACTGTAGATATTACAATATTGACTATATTCTCTGTGCTGTATAGGACATCCCCATGACATTAATTTCATCCTAGAATTTTGTACTTTTAAATCCCTTTCACCTTTTTTTGTTTATCTTCCAACTCCTACCCCTCTGGCAGGAATTATTTTGTTCTCTGTGTCTATGACTCTGTTTTCTTCTGTGTTTTATTTTTAGATTCCACATATGAGTGAAATAATATGGTATTTGTCGTTGACTTATTTCAGTATTAGTATACTATCCTTTAGCTCCATCCATATTGTCACCAACAGCAAGATTTGTTCTTTTTATGGCTGAGTAATATTCCTCTTCGTGTGTGTGTGTGTGTGTGTGTGTGTGTGTGTGTGTGTGTTTCATCCTTTATCCATTCATCTTTCGATGAACACCTAGGTTGTTTCCATATCTTGGCTATTGTAATTAATGCACCAATAATGAACATAAAGATGCGTATATCTTTCTGAATTAGTGTTTTCATTTTAGGGTTCCTGTTTCTTTACATCCTTGCTAACACTTGTTATTTATTGTCTTTTTGATAATACCATTCTGAGAAATGTAAGGTGATATCTTACTGTGGTTTTCATTTGTATTTACCTACTGATTAGTGATGTTGAGCATCTTCTCAGAAGACTTTGGAGAAATGTCTATTCAGGTCCTCTGCGCCCGCCATCCTCCCCCTCCCCCCCCCCCCCCCCCCCCACACACACACTTAAAGATTTTTTACTTTTAGAAAGGGAGAGAGAGAGAAACAGTGACATCAGAGTGAAACATCAATTGAATGTCGTCTGCAACCCCAGGCATGTACCATGACCAGGAAACAACTGGCAGCCTTTCAGTACACAGGATGACACCCAGCCAATGGAGCCACACCAGCCAGGGCTCTCCATTTTTTGAAATAGAATTGTTAGTAGCAAGGGGTTAGTGTTGGTTTGTTGTTGTTGTTGTTGTTTTTGTTGTTTTTATGCTGAGTTATATGACTTCTTTAAATATTTTGGATAATAATGCTTGTTGAATATATATTTTGCAAATATCTTCTGCCATTCAATGTTTTGTTATGTTGATGATTTCATTTGCTATGCAGAGGATTTTTTTGTTTGATGTAGTTTCATTTGCTTATTTTTTGTAGTTGCCCTTGTCTGAGGAGACCTATCCAAAAAAAAAAAAAATTTTTTCTAAATCCATTGTCAAAGAATTTATTGCCTATGTTTTCTTCCAGAACTTTTATGGTTTCAGGCCTTATAGTTAAGTCTGTATTCCACTTTGTATTTATTTTTGTATACGGCATAAGAAAGTTTAATTTTTTTGTGTGTCCAGTTTTTCCAACAATGTTTATTGAAGAGACTCTCTCTTTCTCATTGTATATTCTTACCTCCTTGTCATAGATTAATTGACCATAAAAGCATAGGTTTATTTCTGGCATCTCTTTTCTCTTTGATTGATATATGTCTATTTTTATGCCAACACCATACTGTTTTGATTACTATAGCTTTGTAGTGCATTTTGAAATTAGGGAACATGATACCTTCAGCTTTCTTCTTTATCTTTTTTAAGATTGCTACTGTGGCATTGCTTGTTCTGTAATTTTTTTAAAATATATATTTTTTTAATTTTATTTAAATCTTTATTGATTTTAGAGGGAGAGGAAGAGAGAAACATCGATGAGAGAGAATATCAATTGGTTGGTTGCCTTCCACATGCCCCCCGGGGATCAGGCCCACAACCTGGGCATGTGCCCTGACCAGGAACCAAACCAGTGACTTCTCCTGGTACATGGGTCAATACTCAGCCACTGAGCCACACCAAGCGGGCTCTTCTGTAATTTTAGATACATTTTAAGATTACTAATTCTGTGAAAAATGCCATTGGTATTTTGATAAGGATTGTATAGAGTGCATTTAGATAACATGGACTTTTTGATGATGTTAACTTTTCAATCTATGAACATGGTATATCCTTCCATTTATTTGTTGTCTTCAGTTTTCTTCATCATTGTCTTAGAATTTTCAGAGTACAAGACTTTTACTTCACCTGGCTAAATTTATTGCTAGGGCACAGCCAGTGTGGCTCAGTGGTTGAGCATTGACCCATGGACCAAGAGGTCACTGGTTCGATTCCTGGTCAGAGTACATGCCTGGGTTGCAGGCTCAATCCCCAGTGGGGTACATGCAGGAGGCAGCCAATCAGTGTGTCTCTCTTATCGATGTTTCTGTCTCTCCCTCTCCCTTCCTCTCTCTCTAAAAAAATCAATAAAAAATATATTCTAAAAAAATGTATTGCTACGTATTTTATTCCTTTTGATGCATTTATAAATGGAATTGTTTTCTTAATATCTCTTTCTGATAGATTGTTATTAGTGTACAGAAACAACAGATTTCTAAATGTTAATTTTGTATCCTGCAACTTTACTGAATTAACTTATTAGTTCTGATTCTTTTTTGTTAGAGTCCTAAGAGTTCTCTCTGTATGGTATCATGTCATCAGCAAATAGTGACATTTCCACTTCTCCTTTACAATTTGAATCTTTTTATTTTTCTTGTCTGATTGGTTTGGCTAGGACCTCCAATGCCATGTTGAATAAAAGTAGTGTGTGCATTCTTTCCTTATTCCTGATCTAGAGGGAAAGCTTTCAGTGTTTTATTATTGAGTGTGATGTTAGCAGTATTTGTCATATATGGCCTTTATTATGCTATGTTCCCTCTGTACCCACTTTATTTTTTTATTTTTTTTATCCTCACCCGAGGATATTTTTCCATTTTTTGTACAGATAGAGTGGGAGGGAGAGAGAGAGGAAGGGAGAGAGAGACAGAAACATCGACATGAAGGGACACATCGAGTGGCTGCCACCCGCACGACCAACCAGGGCCGGGGACAAACTGCAACCGAAGTACATGCCCTTAGCGGGAACTGAACCCGGGTCTCTCCGGACCGCAGGCCGATGCTCTAACAGCTGAACCAAACCGGCCAGGGCACTGTACCCACTTTATTGAGAGTTTTATTTATCATAAATGGGTGTTGAATTTTGTCAAATGCTTTTTCTTCATGTATTGAGATGATCATGATTTTTATCCTTCATTTTGTTAATATGGTCTATCACTTTAACTCATTTGTAGATACTGATATCTTTGTATCCCTGGAATAAATTCCACTTGATGGTTGTGTATAGTCTTTTTAATCTATTGTTGAATTCAATTTGCCAATAATTTGTTGAGGGTTTTTTGCTACGTTTATCAAGGGTATTGGCATGTTACTTTTTTTTTTATATGACTTTGATTTTGGTAAATGGGTGATGCTGGTTTCATAGAAAGAGTTTGGAAGCTTTTCTTTCTCTTGTACTATTTTGGAATAGTTTGAGAAGGATAGTTAATTCTTATTTAAAAGCTTGGTAGAATTCACCTGTGAAGCCTTCTGGTCCTGGACCTTTGTTGTTGGGAGTTTTTTGATTACTGATTCAATTTCATTAATAGTATATGGTCAGTTTTGATTTTCTGTTTTCTTCCTTGTTCAGTCTTGAAAGGTGGTATCTAGAAATGTATTAATTTCTTGTCCAATTTGTTGGTCTTTAATTGTTTGTAGTATTTACTTACGATCCTCATTTTTCTCTGGTGTTAGTTTTCACTTCTCTTTCATTTCTGATTTTATTTAGGCCCTTTTTTTGATAAGTATGGTTAAAGGTTTATCCATTTTTTTAATGTTTTCAAAGAACTAGTTTTCAGTTTATCTTTACTATTGTTTTTTTAGTCTCTACTTCATTTATTTCTGTTTTGATCTTTATTATTTTCTTCTAACTTTGGTCTTCATTTGTTCTTTTTGTAGTTTATTTAGGTGTAAAGTTAGATTGTTGATGTGGCATTTTTTTTTTGTCTTGAGGTAGGCTAGTATATCTGGGAACTCTCCTCTTAGAGCTGTTTTTGTTGCTTTCCATAAGCTTTGGAAAGTTGTGTTTTCATTTGGAAAGTTGTCTCAGGGTTATTTTTTTAATTTCCTCTTTTTTATTTCTCCTTGACCCTTTGGTTGTTTAGTAGTATATTTAGTTTCTAAGTATTTGTGTTTCTTCCAGTTTTCTTGTAATTGATTTCTA